GGGAAGTGCAGGCTGCTCCCCGGCTGCACGAGGAGCACGTCCCCCTCCGACACCTGCACAGACCCCGGTGCAGGGGGACAAGTCACTGGGAACTCAAGGCTGTGACCTTCCCGGGGGGGACAACTGCCCGTGTCACTCACTGTCCTCCTGGACGGAGGGGGACATGCAGGAGCCCCCATCCCTCAGGGAAAGCCCCTCCTGCCCACACCCAGAGTCAGCAGGACAGGGAGAGCAATGCCTCCCCATCCTGCTCTCCAGTCCTGGGAGATTCCCTTCCTTGTGCTCTTTTAGAGAGGTCCCTGTGCTGCGCCCATGGCAGGCTGGTGACACGGGAGAGGGCATGAACAGGACGGAAGCATCCTGCACCCCAACACCTCACTGCCCTCATGAACCCCCTCCCAGATCCCTGGCGATCACTGTGGCCTTGCCACACCCAAGGGGAGGTGTGAAGCCCACCTTTATTGGGGGCCTGGCAATGGAGTAGAGCAGGAGAATCCCTGAGACCAGCACCCCGGCCACAATTCCATACTGGACCTCCCAGAAGCAGAGCAGGAATGTCACGCAGAGGGGCACAAGGTCCAGCCCTGCAAGAGAGACAGCCCAAGCTCAGCTTTGGTTTGTCCCGGTGCCACAGGGCCCTCAGTGACAGTGCCTGCTCTGCAGGCAGAGCTGGGCTGCACCAGGGGATCAGCCTCCCCCAGCTCGTGCCCTCACTCTTAACCCGCCAGAGCGTCCTGAAGATCCCCACGTCGAACATGGGCAGCACGGCCGAGATGATGACGGCGGCCAGGGCCGCCTTGGGGATGTAGTAGAAGAGTGAGGTGAGGTAGGCCAGCGAGAGCAGGACCAGGGCACCTGCAGGATGGGGGGAGCCCCTGAGCCATGGGGTCCCTGATGCCCAGGGCTCCCAGGCAGGGGAGCCTGCAGAGCAGCCCACAGCAGGGTCAGGGCCCTACCTGTGACGAGCCCTCCCGCGGGGGTGCAGACCCCTGACTGCGCGTTCACCGCCGTCCTGAAAGGCAAAGCAACACGTCCTAGGCTGTGAGGGGGCCAGGGGGGTCAGGGGCTGCCCCCACCCACTGCCCAGACCCCCCACCCAGGAAAATCACTGACCCTGCCGGACCCCACCAGGGAGAAACACGAGCAAGAAACACGAGTGGCTCCCAGGCCACAGCGGGACTGCAGAGCACTGAGACGGGAGAGAAGGTGGCCATGGGACACACACACAGCCTGGCCACCAAGGTGGGCTGCTGGGACCAGGACATAAGCTCAGAGACCCACTGGGGTCTGCACAGTCTTCCACCCAAGATCTTGCAGAGCCCCCTCACCCCACAGGCCCAAGTGAGTGTCCTGTGGGCTGGGGCCTGTCCCCCCTCCTGCTACCCACCGGCCGAAGCTGCCCGTGATGGGATACGACGAGACGAAGGAGCCCAGGATGTTGGCAACACCTGAGGAGGGGAAGGAGAGGGGCTGGGGAGGCACCGCCAGAGCCATGAGCTGGGTTTGTGTCCCCATCAGCACCTCCTCCAACCCCAGTACCAGAGGCTGGATCAGAGCCTATCCCGCTGTGCAAGTGTGACTCAGATTGCTCTGGAAATTCCTGTGGGAACAGCTTTGGTGGGGGCAGCATGCAAGGTAAGAAAGGGAAATCTTCAGGGAGAGATAGGACTGCTGAGATGGGATCTGGTGTAGCTCAGGAGCTCTGGGATACACAGTAGCGCTGAAGCCAGACCCCCACCCCTGAACTGCTCCAAAGCAGTGTCTTACCCAGAGCCAGCAGCTCCTGGTTGGGGTCAATCCTGTAACCATTCTGCGAGGCTGAAAGGAGATACCGGCATTGGCCCGAGACTGCCACAGGCACAACCCACCACACACACGGAGTGGGGCCAGCACTGACTGGGACAGTGTGGGCCCTATCCTGGCACCCCTCAGGCACAGGAGCACCCTGAGACAACACCCACCTCCTGGGCCAATTTCAGCTGTGCTCCCTGCGGGACCCCTCCTGCCAGCCCACACGATGGAACGGGCTCGGCACAGGCAGATCCGTACCCCTCAGTGCCCTCGTGAGAAGAGCACCTTCCCCAGCACCCCGAGCCCCTGTGGGACCCCCCACGAGCGCAGGGCAGGACCCTGGTGCAGCCGTACCAAAAGCCTTGGCAATGGCGATGGTTTCCAGCAGGCCCATGAGCGGGACCACGGCCAGCCCGACCCCCATGTCCTGGGAGGGAAGGGTACGGTGAGGGAGGGCCGGGAGTGGCCTCATCCCGCTGTGCAGGGAGCCAGCACACGCAGGAGGGAGCAGAGCAGCCCAAGGGGAGCTTGGCCTCCACCAGCCACCCCAGCACTCACCTCCACCATGGTCGGGAAGGGGACGGTGCCGTTGGGCGCTGCCAGGGAGAAGCGCGGCGGCCGGAAGGCAGGGAGGCCCCGGGGGATGCTGCCGGTGAGCGTGAGGGGCTGGGAGCCCATCACCTGGAAGGAGTAAGCAACCAGGCCAGCAAACAGGACGACGAGGGCGTTGCGTGCTGCAGAGGAGAGAGCAACCCTGGAAACCTGCCCAGAGCCCAGGGCAGCAGGAGGGATGGCTGGAGATGGGTATCTGAGCTGCCAAGGACTTCCAAGCCTTAGGAAGGGGCATGCACAGTGGCAGGACCACCCTTAGGACTTTGTCCTCCCCGACTCATTTCCCATGTCTCGGCTCCTGCCAACCTGGGCTTTACCAGTTTTGGGTTGTCTCTTCCTTGTCTCGAAGTGACAAGCCCCCGGGAGGGATGGCTGGGGGAGGGGACGGGGCAGGGGATGGCTGGCACACCTGTGGCAGAGATCCAGACGATCCAGCAGCTGATCCTGGCAGCCAGCGGCTCTGCAGAGGCAGCTTGGGGCAGGTGGCTCTTCATGGCCCGGAGCGCTGCCAGCGCGGCCAGGCAGGCCAGCCCCAGCACAGCGTCCCCAGCCCTGCAACAGCCACATCAGAGCCAGCCCAAACACGCTCTGGGGCACAGGAAGAGCCCCCCCAAAGCCCCACCAGAGGGGGGGTGTGTCACAGTGCTGGGCAGGGACCGAGAAATCAGTCCAAGGTGTGACCAAAGAGATGAGGAGCGAAGTGGCAGAGCCTGAGACCCCACAGCTGCAGGGGAGGGAGTGGGGAAGGTGCCGACCTGGTCTCCCCGATCCTCCGCAGCGTCTCATACACCTGCAGGAAAAACTGCCGTGGGATCCCCTGCAGCCCCAGGATGTTCTGTGCAGGAAGACAAAGCCTGGTGACAGCCTGGTGACAGCCCAGCTCAACCCCAGCTGCCGGGTGCCTCAGCCCCTGGAGCCGCGCCGTCCCCCACGACCGCAGCCATTGGCCAACAGCGGCCTGCCAGCTGCTGGCAGAGGCTCTGATTTGGGGTAACCACAAAGGAAGTGTGGCAGCCCCAGCAGAGCCGCACGGCCTCAGGTCCCTGAGAGGCCAGTGAGGAGCTGAGGGGCTGCAAAAATCCCCCTGCAGCTCCCATCACTGCAAAGCCACCGTGCCAGAGATCACCCAGCACCCCCTGCCAGTGACCAAATCAAATGTCCTGGTTTTACTGCTGTCCTGGATGTCACCAGCTGGTCACAGGCAAAGGGTGTGTTTGGCTTGGTCTGCTCAGAGCAGAGCTCTCAGGGACCCAGCAGAACTGCTGGCAGGGGGTCTCATGACCCCTTTGGGGCTCCTTCCTCTGGTACCAAGCACATCACCCAGCCTGGTGCTAAATATCCCAGTTCCACAGCACTAGGAGACAGCTGGTGAGGCATCCAGGGCAGAGTAGATCCTACCTTGATCTGGTTGAAGCTAATGGTGATGGAAGCAGCCGATGTGAACCCTTTAATGACAGGGCAGGAAATGAAATCCAGAAGGAATCCTGTGTGGGATGGGCAGCACTGAGCACACTGCTGGCCCTGGTAGGCACCCAAACCGGGTGTTTGTGTGCACACAGAGCTGTCACAAGCATTAGCGGGATGACCCCAGCGTCCTGGAAAGCTGAGAGGAGGGGGGAACAACTACAGGATGTACAGCAACATCCTAAAAATACAATGGTGCATGGCAAGAGCATCTCACCGAGGTGCAGGAGCCCCATGGCCAGCTGGATGCAGCCAGAGAGGAAGGCGAGCAGGACGGCATAGACAGGCTCGTGGAATGCGTACGAGGAGACGAGCAGGGACATGATGGCCGTGGGACCCAGCGTCACGTCCTTGGCAGTGCCCAGGAAGAAGTAGACGAAGCAGCCCATGAAGGAGGAATAGAGGCCATACTGCAGGGGGGCAGAAGGGGCACTGGCACAACGCTGGGAGCTGGGAGAGGCCAGAAACCTCCCCGGCGAGGAGGGCTGGGCTGATCTCGGGTCACTCCAGGGCACTTGGCACACACAGGGCGTCAGGAGCTTCCTACCCGGAAAACGGGCGACTGCACAGGGTCGGCCCTTGGTCGCCCAGCCCAGCCCAGCCCAGCCCTGCCCGCCACGCTGCAGGCGGCTCGGGGAGCGGGGGGTCCCCGCGCCCCCAGTCAGAGGCAGCTCAGGGAGAGAGCGTTCCAGGCCACCCTGGCCACGGGCAGCTCAGGGAGCGGGGGCTCCCCGGCTCCCAGCGCCGGCCCCGGCACCCACCTGCAGCGGCAGCCCGGCCAGCTCGGCGTAGGCCAGCGCCTGCGGCACGGCCGTGAGCCCCACGGCCAGCCCGGCCAGCAGGTCCAGCGGCAGCCAGGCCCGGCAGTACCGCGGGAGCCAGCGCAGCACCGGCAGCGCCGGGCAGCGGGACCCCGGCATGGCGGGGACGGCCCGGCCCGGCGGGGACAGCTCGGCACGGGCACCCGCGGCCGCAGCTCCGCTCCCGCGGGGCCGGGGCGGGACCCCCGCGGGGCCGGGGCGGGCCGGGGCCGGCCGTGCCAGCCCGCTCCACCCGCCGGGACCGTGGCTCCGCCCGGGCCGGATCTGAGCGGCCGGGGCCGCCTCATGTGACCGGGGTGAGGAGGAGCCGCCTCGCCCCGGTGCCGGTGTCGGTGCCGGTGTCGGTGCCGGTGCCATGCGGCTCTGGGCGCTGGCGCTGCTGCTCGGAGCGCTCCGGAGCGGCGCGGCCCCGGCCCCGGCCCGCAACGTGCTGCTGCTCCTGGGTGAGTGCGGCCGCCGGCCCGGCCGAGCCCCGGAGCCGGTTCCGGGTCCGCGCCCGTCGCCCCCAGCCCGGGAACCCCCTGCCTGGGCCGCCCCGCGGGTCCCGCTGCATCCCCTCCGCTGGGACGGTCCCAGCAGCACCGGCCCCAGCCCGGGTCACCCGCAGCCCGGGGATGCTGTCGGTGTCATTCGCGTCCCCCGGGCTTTGCCCCCGCGCCTGGTCAGGGACGCGCCCCGGGCTCACCCCGCACTCCTCCCGCCGCAGCCGATGATGGGGGCTTCGAGAGCGGCGCCTACAACAACTCGGCTATCCAGACGCCCAACCTGGACGCGCTGGCCCGGCGTGGCGTGGTCTTCCAGAACGCCTTCACCTCCGTCAGCAGCTGCTCCCCGAGCCGGGCCAGCATCCTGACCGGCTTACCACAGGTAGGGGCACCGCCAGCCCCCGGCATTCCTGTGGCACAGTCCCAGGACGGGGCGACCCCACTGTCTGCTGGCCCACCCTCTTCCCAGCCCCCAGGACCTGCTTCCCCCGCTCACACACTGGGAGCACGGCTGGATGTGTTTTGGGGCCGGGCTGGCAGCCCTTGTCCAACCGTGCTGTGTCCCCTCACCTGCAGCACCAGAACGGGATGTACGGGCTGCACCAGGACGTGCACCACTTCAACTCCTTCGATGGCGTGCGGAGCCTGCCCCACCTGCTCAGCCAAGGAGGTGTCCGGACAGGTAGGGAGCCAAAGGCAAGGGACAGGGGAAGGGAAACCCCCCCTTGGTGCACCAAACCCCAGTGAGCAAGAGAGCAAGGTGGCTAAACTGCCACCTTGAGCCAGGGAACACCCCCTGGACCCATGCCTGTCCCCCAGGGAGGAGACAGTGGTAGCCATGTCCCCCCATCCCCCTGCTGCTCCTGGCACACCACTTGTCTCTGTTCGTGCAGGGATAATTGGGAAGAAGCATGTTGGGCCAGAGGCTGTGTACCCCTTCGACTTTGCCTACACAGAGGAGAACAGTTCTGTCCTGCAGGTTGGGAGAAATATCACCCGGATCAAAGCGCTCGTCCGGCGGTTCCTGCAGAGCCAGGACGAGAGGTGAGATGGCCTCCACATCCCAGTTGGTCTGGGTCACCCCATATCCAGAAGCCCAGACTAGGTGGGAGTCCTCCTGCCAGCCCCAGCTCATCCCAGCAGAGGGTCTCAGGGGGTGTGGGCAGCCCTTTGCTCCACCACCTCCACCCTTTCCATCCCTAGGCCTTTCTTCCTCTACGTCGCCTTCCATGACCCCCATCGCTGCGGGCACTCCCAGCCCCAGTACGGGGCCTTTTGTGAGAAATTTGGCAACGGAGAGAGTGGGATGGGCTGGATCCCTGACTGGAAGCCACAGATTTACCACCCAGAGCAAGTGCAGGTGGGAACCTGTGGGTCTGCACGGGGCTGTGTGGGGCCCTGCGGGGGCTGCATGCTCCTCTGATGGAGCCAGGGCTGGCCCCCACCTCGTCACTGCCAGCAGCATTACAGGCAAGAGCTGGTGAGGGCCACCATGGTGGACCTGTGACCTCTGTCCCCATGGTGGCCATGTGCCACTCTGCCCTTCTCCGTTTAGGTCCCCCCCTTTGTTCCTGACACGCCGGCTGCCCGGGCCGACCTGGCTGCCCAGTACACAACCATCGGGCGCATGGACCAAGGTAGGAGCCGCAGGGCCAGGCTGGCACTGGTGAGTGCTGCAGACCCTCCTGCCCCCCTCAGCTCTGCCCCTCCGTCCGCAGGGATCGGGCTGGTCCTGGAGGAGCTGCAGCGTGCCGGCTTCCACAACAGCACCCTGGTGATCTACACCTCCGACAACGGCATCCCCTTCCCCAGCGGCAGGACCAACCTCTACCGCTCGGGCACCGCCGAGCCGCTGCTCCTCTCGTCCCCTGAGCACCCCCAGCGCTGGGGGCAGGTCAGCCAGGCCTTCGCCACCCTCCTGGGTAAGAGCCTGTGCCTGCAGAGCTGGGCCCGGGGGCTGTGGGCTGCTCCCCACACCAAAACCCAGGGTCTTGTCCCAGGGGCAGCCCTTGCATGGGAGAGGAGTGAGGACAGAACAGGGTCCTCTGTGGGACAGCATCCCAGGGCTCAGCTCTGCAGCTCCTCCCAGGAGCAGCCACAGCCCATGCAGCTGCAGACCCAAGAGACGTCTCTGCCTCTCTCCGGGTTGTTTCCTCCCACGGTGCCAGTCCCTCCTCTCACGCTTCTCTTCCCCTCCAGATCTGACGCCGACCATTTTGGACTGGTTCTCCATCCCCTACCCCTCTTACAGCATCTTTGGCACAAAGCAGGTGCAGCTCACTGGAAAGTCTCTCCTGCCAGCACTGGAGTCAGAGCAGTCCTGGGCCACCGCCTTCAGCAGCCAGAGCCACCACGAGGTGACCATGTACTACCCCATGCGAGCCATCCAGCACCGGCAGTTCCGCCTCATCCACAACCTCAACTACAAGATGCCCTTTCCCATCGACCAGGACTTTTACGTCTCGCCCACTTTCCAAGACCTGCTCAACCGCACCAGGGCCGGGCAGCCAACCCACTGGAACAAGACCCTGCACCAGTACTACTACCGGGACCGCTGGGAGCTCTTTGACTGCAGCCGCGACCCCACCGAGAGCCAGAACCTGGCCCCCGACCCCCGCTACGCCGACGTCCTCCAGCTGCTCCGTGTGCAGCTCCTCAAGTGGCAGTGGGACACGGGGGACCCCTGGGTGTGCGCCCCCGACGCCGTCCTGGAGGAGAAGCTGAGCCCCCCGTGCCGGCCACTGCACAACGAGCTGTGAGCGTCACCTCTGCCGCCGTCCCCACTGCTCTGCGACGGTCCCGTGCTCCCGTCAGGCACGAGGGGGTGGAGCGGGATCACGGACGGACCAGTCCCTAATCCCTGGGTGACACCACGAGGCTCTGCTCTCTGTATCACCCACACCACCTGGCCCCAGAGTACTCAGGGACCCTGGTGCCTTTCCTCTCAGCCAGAGGAGCCGTAGGGCCAAGCTGCCCCTCCGTAAAGCTTCTGGAGGACAGGGCTCCATTTCTCCCTGGAGCTGAGCACGTCCCTGCAACAGCCCCCGGCTTGGAGCCAGCAGGACAACAGGACAAGGGGCTCTGTGGTGCAGCCAGGGGGCCCCCAATGCTCTGGGAAATGGGGTGAAGCCTGTAAGGGGCACAGGCAGCCCTGCTGGAGACCCCCAGGCAGGGAGGGAACCAGGGTGTCCCAACCAGGGGCACAGGGCTGAGCCACAGTTCAGGACCAGCAGGGGCAGAGGGGACACGGGCACGGCCTGGGGCTGCTCCCAGCAAACAGCAGCTTTATTCATAGCACTTGCTCCTTCCCCTTCTGCACATCCCCCTCCCCAAAACCACAGCCAGGAGACTCCCCACAGGCCCCCCCCAGGTTACCAGTCCCCCACAGAAACAGGTTTGCTGTCTCACAAGGCACTTGGGTCTTTTTTTCCCTGATTTGAGGATGATGAGGTTTTCCCTGTCCCCGGGGGTTGTGCAAGTCCCCCCCTCCCCGTGCCAGTCCAGTGCACACACCTCCATCGCCTCATGGCAGCCAAAGTCCAGGAGCTGCGTGGTTGGGAAGAGCAGTGGCAGCTCCGTGTTGTCAAGGGATGGGATGGATTCAGCCCCAGAGCCAGGGGGAGCAGCGTGGCCTCTCCCTGTGACCGGTGGTGGCTCAGGACCAAGAGATCACAAACTGCTCCCACATCGGCAGCGACACAGGGACTCTCAGCACCTGAGGGGCAGAGGGAAGGGTTGGCAGCAGGCAGAGCCAGCTGGGAGGGAGCCTGGGAGGTGTCAGAGCCGAGGGAGGTGTCCTGTCCCCATACAGAGCCACAGCCTGGCATGGTCCCGATCCCACAGAGCCCCTGAGAAGGGCATCCATGGCAGGCAGCCCCAGGAGCAGAGCTGTGCTGCTGCTCCTCTCAGAGCTCCAGCCCCATCATCACACAGCCTTTCCTTCCTCCATCTCCCCATCCTCACTCCTGTCGTGGTCTAATCCTGCCCAGCCCCAGAGCAGTGACCCAGCCTGTGCTGACAGAGCTGGTGCTGTGCCATCGCTGGGGCCAGACCTCGCCAGCCCCTCAGCTGTGTCCTGTCCCTTCCCAGCCACCACCCCCTCCCGGGGGGGACGAGCACTCACCTGGGTGTCACTGCGGTAGGAGAAGTCACTCACAATGGCACCGTTGGCCAGGACTTGCCGGGGAGGGCTGGAGACCCCCAGCACGGTCACAGCCTCCAGCAGGACCCCGTCGAGGTGGGGGCTCCCCCGCAGCAGCTGGCTGAGCACAGCACCCTGGGGGACAGCAGGGATGTCACCCTGTGCTCCTGGGCCACAGCCACCCCACGGGCACACAGGGCTGCCCTGGTGCCCTGCTCCTCGTGCTGCCCCTCTGCCAGGCACTGAGCCCAGGGGGCCAGAGAGTATCCACAGTGCAAGGAGAGCAGCCTCTTCCCCTCCTAGGGGGCATCCTGAGGGGATGCTGACCCCTCCACCCCACCAGCTGCTCAGTCTGGCACTGTTGGCACCACACAGCTCTGCACCAGGGCACAGTGCTGCCTGTGACCACATGTGCCCCAGGGCCAGCAGGACCCCCCTGCCCAGATGCCCCCTCACTCACGTGCGTGGCCAGGAAGAGGATCTCGGTGTAGTCCCCCCTCTCAAAGGTCTCCCAGCTCTCCCCATCATCCCAGAACAGGTCTCCCCTGGCGAAGCCGTCCGGGGTCAGTGCCACGACCAGGGCCATGCCCCTCCTGCGGGACTGGGCAGTGCTGAAGGCGGGTTCCTGGGGCGTGGGAGAGGGCACAGCTCAGGGCACTGCTGGAGCCATGTCCCCCGGACAGTGCAGCCACGGCTCCCTCAGCACTGTCTGCTCTGTGGTGATGGCACTGCCACCACCCTAGGCTGGCCAGGCAGGTCACCACGGAGCAGAGGGACTCACCTGCAGGGGCAGGATGTGCCCTGCACGGACATGGACATTGATGGTGTCCAGGGGTGCTGGCAGGAGGATCCACTGCCCTTTGCTGTGGATGGTGGAGTCCTACGTGGTGACAGAGAGGGAAGAGCAGGCACAGGGTGCTGTGTGGCCAAGGGGGCCAGCACTGCGGCCCTTAGATGGCCATGAGTGAAGGCAGGCGAGGTACAGGACCCACACACAGCCCCAAGGGGCCTGTACCAGCAATGGGATGCAGGAATGCACACGGGGTCCCACAGCAAAGCCCCCCCCAGTCCCACAACACAGCAGGGAGTACCCACCCCTGCCAGGCTGTACCACGTCCCCGCCGGGAAGTAGCCGCTGACTTTGGTCTGTCCTGCCTCCAGCACGGGGGTGACGAGCAGCCCCCCGCCCCACAGGAGCTGGCGGTCCACAGCCCAGGTGTTGGGGTCTGTGGGGAACCTGGAGGAGGGAAGGGCAGCACCAGGGAGACCCTGCACCCACCTCCCCCTGAGCCTGGCGGGACGGCGCCCACCGGCCCCGGCTGGGCCAGCACTCACTCGAGGAAGAGGGGCCGTGCCACCGTCTCCCCGGCGGTGTGAGCCCGGTGGAAGAGGGTGTAGAGGAAGGGCAGGAGGGAGTAGCGGAGGCGCAGGGCGTTCCTCATGGCAGCCTGGGCGGCCGGGCTGAAGGCGTACGGCTCCTGTGGCTGCAGGGGAGAGACCCGAGGGGGACGCTGAGACCACACAGGGAGGAAGGGCGGGTGCGTTTCTGGGGTGCGGGACGGACTCTCCCAGCCCAGGCCCAGCACGGAGGGCACGTGGCACTGCAGCTGCACCAACCACCTTCCCATGCGTGCTCGCTCATCCCAGAGCCCCCCTGCCCGGCAGGGCGAGGGCTCCCAGGCTCACCCGAGTGCCGTGGTCGTTGTGGTTCCTCATGAAGGGGTAGAAGGCGCCCAGCTGTGTCCAGCGCACGCACAGCTCCTCGGACGTGTCGCCCGCGAAGCCGCAGATGTCGGCACCCACCAGCGGCACCCCGAACAGGTTGAAGAGCAGCACCTCTGTGGAGGGGGCACAGCGGGCACTGAGGCGCCGGGGGGACAGAGCCTGTGGAGAAGCCCCCGGCTGCAGGGGCAGCACAGGAGGGAAGCAGGGCTGGATGTGCCCCAAGTGCCCCACAGCCTACCTGGTATGGAGTAGTAGAGCTGCTCCCAGTTGCTGCCGACGTCCCCTGTCCAGTGCCCAGCGTAGCGCCCGTGCCCAGCGAACGTGGAGCGCGAGATGACGAAGGGACGCTTGCCCCGGACCCTCAGCAGTGCACTGAGGGCAGAGCAGGGTCTGCTCAGCACCGCCCAGACAGGGAAGGGGCTCAGCAGCTCCCACGGCACACTGTGTTTGTTACACACCAAACCCTCCCTCCCCGCTCAGTGCCTTCCCTGTGCCCACACTGCCCACGCTGGGGCTCTCTGCCGGCTCTGGCATCCCCTGGGATGTGCAGGAGCCCAGCAGGAGCCCCAGGCTTACTTGTGGGAGGCGATGGCCTCGGTGAGCCCGTACAGGCTGTGCAGGTTGTAGTGGGAGGACAGGAACTGCTGGCTGGAGGCACAGATGGTCCCGGCCCGCAGGCGCCCCCCGAACACGCCTGTACCAGGCGGGCGGGGGCAAGGGCGAGGTCAGAGCCCACCCAGCTGGGACCGGAGCATCCTCCGGGATCCTCCCGGCGTCCCCACAGCCCTGGGAAGGGCTGGAACCCACTCCCATACCTGGCACGTAGGGGGGCTGTTCCAGGTTGTTTTGGGGGCAGCCATCCTGGGAGCCCTCCACGAAGTTCGACGGCTCATTCATGTCCTGGGGAGGGAAAGGACGGGATGCCCTCCCTGCCACACTGGGGCCCAGTGGAGGTGCAGGGAGGGAGCCAGGGAGCTGTAGCCAGCAGCTCTGCCAGGGCCACTCACAAGCCACATGCCATCAAAGGGCACTTGGTCGTGGAAGTCCTTCACCATGTCATGCCACCACTCGTGAGTCTCCGGATTGGTGAAGTCCGGGAAGACGGTTGGGCCTGGCCAGACCTGCGGGAGGGAGGCAGCAATGGGCAGAGCCCTCCACCCCACATACCACCCTGCCTTCCATCACAGCCACCCCCTGAGCATTTCCCTCTGGCCCTTGGGGTCCTGCTCCCATGGCCCTGCTCGACCCCCCTCCCGCAGGGCTCGGGCTGCTCCCACACACACCTTCCCGACCAGGGGCTGTCCCGTGGCATTTCGGATGAACACCCCTCTCTTCAGTCCCTCGTCGTAGGGCTTGTAGGTGCCAGGGGGTCCCGAGCTGCTGATCCCAGCATCCTGGCAGGGCACAGAGCCGGGGCTTTACCAGCAAGGGCAGGGAACGGCCAGCCCTGCCTTCCTCAGAGGAAGCTCCATCACTGCCCTTGGGGCAGCTGCAGCCCCAGTGCCAGCCCACCCGTGTGGGTGTCACTCACCACAATCATGATGTACCTCAGCCCGCAGCGGTGGAAGTCCTGCACCATCTCTGGGTAGTCCTTAAAGCTTTTCTTGTTGAAGGTGAAATCCCTCTTGGCATCTGCGTAGTCCAGGTCATTCCACTGCACATCCTGTGAATGGTGACACGGGTGGAGTAGGGACTCCTGCACAGTGCCACGGGACCCCCGCTCACAGGGGCTCCCATCAACCCCCCCCCCGTGGCCGCTGTTGGACAGAGGCTCCGGGGACTAGCCCAGACCTACCAGGGGGAAGCGGGCTGCTGTCATGTTGGCCACGACCTGCCGGGTGATGTCGGTGGAGGAGTAGCCCCAGCGGCAGAGGTGGAATCCCAGGCCCCAGTACGGGGGCATGAAGGGGAACCCTGGAAGCCGGAGGGTGGGTGCTGGCAGGGATGGCCCAGCATCACGCTGCCCCACAGCCCCACTCTGCCACGCCAGCTCTGCCACACTGCTCACAGCACCCACACCCCCGCTCGTGGCTCGCCCGTACCGACGACGTCCAGGTACTGCCGCACCACACTCTTGGGGTCGGGGCCCAGGAAGATGTAGAAGTCCAGGATCCCGCCCGTCGTGCGCCAGGTCAGGGCCGGGCTGGGCTGCAGGAGCACGTCTGGGGAAGCACAAGTGCCAGAGGAAGAAGCAGCTGAGGACAGGGACGGGGCTGAGCCCTCGCCCCGGCACCTCCACGGGACTCACCCATCGCGTTGCTGTTCAGCAGAAAGACCCCGTGGGCTGAACCGTCGTCCTCCATCACCAGGTAGAAAGGGTGGGAGCCATAGAGGTTGACCTGGGGCT